CACTGTAAAAATCATTGGGAATTTCTAGCTAAAGTGAAGAAAATACGCCGAAGATCTAAGCTCAACAAAGGTGTCCATGTCTAACAACTTATAGCAAACACAAACAACACAGCTGGCAGCTGAATGCTACAAACGGGGCCCCATAAACAGGACTCAGCGATTTTGTTTAAGATCACAAGCTCCCAACCAACACTTGTGCCACAGAAGAATGTCCATTAGTTGCTATAAAAGCAAAATTGGTAGGGCTTTGTGATTGAGGGGACAGCCCAACAGGCACACAGGAGCTGACAAACACCGACACACTAGAGAGTAGTATAAATTCTTTAATTTGAGTAATTGCCACTCTTTTTTTTTCTCTCTCTCCCTAATATAAAAGCACATTTTATTTTAGTTAAAAACATTTTCTTCTGTGCTACACTGAATTACTTTCACGTTTATTTTCAGGTTAACTCCCAGTAGCCTCTCTACATAGCATCCAGTATGATCTTATATCATGAAGGAGAAAGCAAAATGCTCGAAACAGTAGCTAGAGCTGTTTTGTCCCACTGTTGTTTTCTTTAATCTTTTGTTCAGTGTATGGAAAGATGCTAACCTTTCTGGGCTATCTTAACCGCGGTGATGTCGGTGCAAAGTAAATGAGATTTAGTAGATATGTTTCTGTTGTCATTACTGAACTTCATATGCTTTGCAATGTAGGCAACGTGTTTTATTTCTCTTAACTTGAAAGAGGTTTCTGTCTTATTGTTGCAATTTATTAAGGGCAAACAATCTAGGGCTTATAATAGGCCTGTAGGCAGAACAAAGCCCTTGTCAAATGGAAGGGTTGGCTGCTCAGCTGGGTAGCATGTAAATGTGCAAAAAGAACTGTTCTGTTCAAAGACACTAGACATGCTTTTTAAATAAAACATCTCCTATAATTGAGAGTTGCCATTTAAGTGTTGTGTTGGAAATGTTAATTTTTTAGAAAATAATTTAACTGAAGAAAGCGGATTCTAATGGTTTTTTTTGTTTGTTTGTTTTGTTTTTTTTTGGGTAAACTCAGAATAAGCAAACTCTCACATACCACTAAGGTTACTAGAGCCCAAACATCATATGCTTCTATACTGGCAGTTTATTTTCATTATATATCACTGTGCTATGCAAGTTAGAATAAGTTCACTGTGTGAACTTGATCTTATCCACAGCATATATTTGGGTTTGGTTTTTATACAAGACATTGACGTAGTATCATGTCTCAAAAAGTAAGACAGTTTCTCATCATACAGCTCATTTTAAATTTCTCATTATGTGCCTCCTTTGCAAGAACTGAAATTAAAGTGACAGATAAAGATAACAACATAATAGGCGTTTTTTTGAGCACTGTTCCACTTGGGCACTAATAGCCCTTTTTTCCTCTGCTGCTGAAACGCATAATCAGGACAGTATCATCAATTAGATTTTTCACTTTAACTTTTCATAATGTTTCCAGACTTCGCTATTTGGCAAAGACAATTGGGACAGATTTCTTTATTTTTTCCTCTGGCCTAAGACTCAAAACCCCCCACTTCCCAAACTGTTACCACCGAAGAGTTTATTAAATGGCTGAAAAAGACAGCTGGTCCCACCATCTGTTAAAAATTTTCAGGGGCCAAATGAAACAGGTTACACCTTTAGCCATGCCAAGTCTTCCAATACCCCCTCCCTCTCACAGCCTGTGGAGGGCTAATCTGAATTTCACGCTCTGATTTTGCTATTGCTAATGTCTGAGCTTCTTATGTGCGCTTCTTGTAGTTGCTTATATTAGTTCTCCAGCAGCAACAAAAGCGATCCTCTCCTTTCAACCTCGCTCATTTGCAATCATCGGAATCCTGGGTCTATGGTCTCCTTTACAATAAGATACTGTACCTTGAAGGAAACCCACAGAGAACCTAATATCAGACTTCTTGGAGAAACAGTGAAAACCCAGGGTACATTTCTGTTGTTTTGCAGCCACTTTTCTATAAATGCTAATGGAAGTAATTCAGATGTGCCAACAAAGGCAGAATCTGCAACACACTGCAGGTGTGAGGGGGCTGAAACAAAGGGGATGCTAACCCTAATGGTATTTCTTGTCATTAACAATTCTTTGATGTTCCTACTCCAGGCTCTCTTTTATCTTGTAGTTTTTCAGCCATCTTTGTTAACATGCAGTGCAACTAAATCTTTTTTTTCCCCTAACCTTTAAAGACATCTGCAAAATGTTTATGCTAAGTTAGTTTCCATAGCATCTTTCTGTAACTCACATTGAAGTAAAATGAGATAAAGCTTGCAAGGTTATTATTAAAACATCAGTAAGTTCCTATCATTAAGTGAAAGGAGCAGATCGATAAAAAGAAACTCTTAATGTTACTTTAATAAGGATGAGTTTCTCCTAACATGACTGGGGATTAACTTTGGTGTAACAGAAGTGGTGTTTATAATATAGCAGCTCTGTTGATAAGAAGCAGTTGGTTTTACTTGGGCTCATTAAGAAAAGACAAATCACAAATATTTCAATTTTAAGAGATTAGTAATTTCCTGTACTAGAGAGCCTTTCACAATAAAAGATATTTAGGGGCATTTTAATTCTCCAGAAGGGATTTTTCTACCACTAAGTGGGCAATGGCATTCAGTCAAGGTGCTGTAGGTGGAGTTTCTCTGTATCCATCTGTCTTTCCATGACTTACAGATGGAAAAACGCTGTGTCTTTTAAAGTGTTCAACTCAGTAGGATGACAGTGAAATGAAATGAACAATCAAAGCACATAAGATGCCAACCTGAACTACTGCACAGCACTACCAGCAGACCCAGAGCTATGCTCTCATCCCACCGGTCATGTCCTGTTAGATCACGTCCCATTCTATCACAGTCTGTTGCATTATTGTTGCAGCATGCTGGAATGTTAAATGAGCAACACGATCAATCAATACCAATTTCCAATTGGAATTCAACTGTAAATCTGCATTGAGTTCAAAATGCTGAAGACTCCAACACAAGTAATCACAAGATACAGTTTCATGTAGCCTCTCATTTTGCTTTTCTTTCAAAACTTCATTTCTAACAGATCAATGTTATGAAATAAATTGTCTCTGCTTGCATTAAATACAGGAATTATCTTTGAATGTGAAAGTGAGCTTTCATCATACCAATCCTATCAAGAATACAAAGAACACTGGTTACATTCACTATTTCTCTTTTAGTTTACTTTCATCTCGAGACACAGAGACAAAGCAGTGGCAGTGTCCTTAATATACTGCCTTGTCCCAAGTTTCAGCTGTGTGGACTGACAGATTAAGCAGCTTCTCTTGCTTCACCGACAGCATTCAGCAGTCTTAGAAATCTGTATGAGAACTGGGGATCTTAGATTATCAATTTTCTCAAATTATTAGATTATTTGTAATTATGCTTCTTAGCTGAGTTCATTCCTGCGGTGGTAGGAATTACAAAATCAGAAGTTTCTGTTTCAAGGACGTTGTGATCTCAGTAGGAGCTGCTCTGTCAGATCAGCCTTTACCTAACTGCTCCAGTTGCATTAACTGTGTTATTTCTTGCTTGTACCTGGGAGCAGCAGTAAGAACAGAAAGCAGTGAATAAACTACATCACACCATTTGTGAAAACACCTCTTCTACATTCCCCTCTCCTTGCTAAGGACTCCAGCAGCAATTCCGTATCATCACCTCCCGGAATAGAGAGCTCTATGAGAATCACATCCACCAGAACCACAAAGCCCTGCCACCCCATCCCAGGCTCAGCCATCCCATCTACACATCTCACATCAGAATACCCCTCTTCTGCTACTGTTTTAGACAGATATCTTCACCTGACACTTGCCATGATCCATAGGATGATAATTTTGGGACACAGCCTAGACAGGTTTCCCTCCCTCCCAGTTCTGTGCTCCAGCCCAGCTGACTACCTCCAGTCTGTGTTGTGGCCATATTGGTTTTGCTGAGAGCTTCAAATCCAGTGTTCACTGGAGACTGTTCAGAAACTGGGACTTCGGTCTTCTGCAGAACACAAATGTTAATCTACCTACTTGGCATCTCCATTTCCCAACAACCTTACAAAATGCTATTTAAATTGTGGAAAAATGATCTTTCTCTGCAACTTAGTTAAAAAAATAGGGCTCTCAAAAAAAGCAAGGGATTTAATCTACTGCTAGCCTGATCAATAATATGTAATCTAGTTTGTGGAAACGTAACTCCAAGATGTGTTTTTCACTTATCTGTTCCTATGTCCTCTAGCATCACAGCATGAGTGCTACAGTAAACATTCCCCCAGTAACACACTGCATATATTTATTTTTCTGACTGATACTGGATTTATGCGTGTAATAAAATAATTTCCAATAATTCTTGGGAAATTCATTAAGATGAATCATGGCATCAGCCTGAGTTTGAAGACACAGTGTGCTATTATTCTGAATTGTTGGCCTCTTCCCTCCACAGTTCCAGTCCCAGCACAAAGGAGACACAAAGACTCTGACTGACTTTATAACCTCTAGCTCAGGCCTAGAGGGCTGCTCCCAGGTCTTGGCTTCTTACAGCATCCCGTGCCGCTTCTGTCAGTCTGAAATCCTGCTTTGCTGTCATGCAGAAACATTTTCTGTTAACTAAGCATTCTGCTACAACTCCTCTCGGGGGTGAACTGTCTTAAAGAAAAGGCACACTAACAAAACATACTTCTGATGCTAGCAATAAAACTGACATTATTTTTAATATCTCATTATCTGAGTAAAAAGGAGGATAGGTAAGATTATCAGATGCCATGTCTTGTGCATATACCAGAACTAAAACTACTTAGTTGTTTCCTACAGAGGATGACACTTCTGTGCCATATGGCCTTATTTTAAATCGTATGTACTATTATGTATCTGGTTAACCAGAAGACATTAAAAAATGCCAGAGTTTGGTTGTCTCCCAAAATTCTCCTTCTGTTTTGAGAAAAAAAAAAAATTAGGAATGAGAAGTAAGAATATGGTTGACTTCAGTTATTTATTTCATTGCTAACTCTTTTACAGTACAAAAGCAACATCTCTGTGCATGTTCAATTCTTTTAAGAGAAAGGAACTAAGTATTCAAATATAACCTTAAACACAAGCAAACAAACAAAAAAGGCAACATTTAAGCTTGGGGCTTAAATCTGATTTTACATAAATGCAAATCTGATATAAAATAGCAACTTGTACCACTCAGATACCTTGACTTCCAGTCCTTTGCTTCCACTACAAAATTACCTTCTTACTCCCTGTCCATAATGTCAAATATCTTTTTGCGTAACTGTGTACTTCTTCTTCATTTTTGCTGAAAAAGAAACTTGTGAATTTCTACTTACAGTTATGGACTTGAGCTCTAAAATGTGAGAATTGATCATCTGTTCTCATACATGTGAAACCAGGTAAAGATCAACAGATACTGAAATGAGAGCACTGAGCATTAATGCTGTGGGAACTGGGCATGTATTGCATATATTGCTCCATCAGAGACAGCCGCATTACCAGGTATGAAACACCTTGATTTCCTACAGTTTACTGAGTTCAATATTGAATAAGACTGCTGGATCTATAGACGCTACATTTCCTCTACTTTTAATTTTTAATATTGTCTACATTTAAATCTGTGTCTGTTTTTAAACAGAATAGAATATGTAAGTAAATAAAAACATTTTCTATCACTGTAATGGATGTTGGTTATACCAACAAAGGTTAGAAATCATTCAGTTAAGACTACTGTTAAATAAGATGCAGTAAAAGTTGAAGAGACTTAAGTATGGAAAATAGCAACACGAAGAGACTTCTTACAAATCCTTATGGTCTGTAGCCATTTATATGGAATGAGAAGTGCACCAGAGGTGTGTAAAAAGTAGTGTGAAGAAAATAACTGGTAGCTCCTTCTTACTTGCTGACAATGCTGTTAGAAGGCACCCTATTCCATTAGAAAGGACCATGTTTAAATAAATTCATTCTCTTTAAACCGCAAACAAAAAAATCCACTTTGTTTGCATGTGCCATGCACAGTTCTCATAACCACAACATACCAGAAGTTAGGAACTCGGTGGAATTAAAAGATGATGGGATAATTACTTGGAAGTACAAACACAGTTATATAATATAGAACAAAATATTACGTGAGAATACATTTCTAAAAGCATTATGCAACTACAGTAAATAACACAAGACAATCAGTAGCTGTTCAGTACTGGGGGAAAAGTATCTACTGCTTAAAAAATGTGGTCATTGCCACCAAAAGGAACATCAGCTTTTGGTCTGACTGGTCTCAGCAAAGTTTCTACTTTTACATTATATAGATGTATATTTTATAAGCTTCTAAGTATTTGCTCCTCAGATGGTGCGATGGGGACTACTGAAAAGATCCTCAGTACACAAAAGCCCTTTCCACCACTCTCATGGCATATGGGTGAGGGAGGTCACAGTGGGGGCAAATTTAAGAGGGCTGCAATTTACTCCTATTCTAAGGTCCCTTTATGTTACTGAAGTGATGTAAATGTTTAAGTGAGAAGCAAGTTTAAAATTACCAAATGAAAGGGACTGATCTCCAAAAGCTCCCTGCCCAATGTGTGTTGGCACAGAGAGTTTTCATGCTGCCAGAGCTGGAAGGCAGAACTGGCTGCTAGTGCCATTAGGGTCTGCGGAAGGATCTACTAAAATCTCTTGTTGGTCGTCACTCTTTACTCTCTCATTCACTGAAATGTGTTAAATGTATTACAGACACGGTCTATGAAATTTTCTTTTTCATAACAGGATTCAAAGTCTTTTATAAAATATTAAGAACAGGATGTTATGAACTATTAAGCAAAACACATTAATATTTCAGGACAATATACGTGAAAGAAAATAAATCAGAATGTAATAATAAATAATAAACCAATTGAGAAAATCTGAGCAGTTTGTGCTGACGTGCTCACTGACTGTGACCATCAGACTGACATGTCTCTTGCACTGCTTCTCCCTATTTCTTGGGGCACATTATGCATCTGTGTTTGTATCCCATCTCATATATTTTCAGAACTATATTTTTTAAAATTCTTTTTTTTTTTTTTTGCACATTTAACTGTGAAAATCTGTTCTGCCAACTCGTCACCAGCAGCACAATGTTGAGATGGCCCTTAATAATCTAAAGGGATACATGTGTACTAAAGTAAAGATGAAGAAAACCCACCTCAAGAGTGTTACGTGGTGAGTATGAAGTGAGTCAGCCAAACAGCATATGAAGAAAGGGGTGAGTTATGAAATAAAGCCAAGCACAGACCAGCTTCATGCACAGTTCTGACTCAGAACGCATAGCTCCGCAGTGGTTCTCAGATAGTAACTTCAAATAAAAATATTAGTGACATTAAACCAATATGAAAAGTTATATCAGATGTAGATAGTGGCATTTCATATGACAAGGAAAATGTTATATTTTACCCTTTCCATGCAATTCAAGAGTGCTCAAAATATGACATAAGATCTTTTGAAGTCCGTTTCTGATGACTAAGATTGATGCAAACTCAATAATAGGGAAGAAGAAACAGAAGAACCTAAGGAATGCATCTAGAGAGCATTTGCCTTTTGTTTGTGCTTGTTATTTAATATTCTGAAGCTGTGAACTTGGCCCATTCAGCAAAGCACTTAATCATAACCTGAAATTTCATTGGTTTCAGCAGGACTTGGGTTTCAGCTTAAGTGCTTTTCTGAATTATAATTTTTTTTTTACTTCTCTTTACTTCCTTATGAAATTAATACAACTGCTCCTCATAATGCATTACTCAGTGTAAGACAAGCTTTTGGTTAATAGACACATGATGTAATATCTAACTGGAAGGCTTGCTTCTGTTTAACTGAAACAATTGATAAACTCTCACTATACATAATAATGATGTGCACTGAACTAAAATAAAACATTATTTTCCCAGTGAAACTTTGTTATCAGAAAGGAGAGATGAAACCACAAAGCACCAACACTGCTAGAGCTCCCTAAGACCTATGCCAATATAAGAACATAGTTTAGTTATTGAACTGTTTTCAAAAAAAAGTCATTTTCCATCTAGATAAGTTGCAGATTAATGGGCCTGGAGAATGTATGCATTATGTAGGAAAAGATGTTATTTTTGATGAGGGATCATAACAAATACTTCTTGTTATATTCTGACAAAAAGTAAAGAAAACTGACCTTTATGTATGAATTCATATTAACTGCCATTCATGGTTGTAGTGCATCTTCTAATCTACATCTGCAGCTACTCACCAATTTAATGAGTCCTTAAGTTTTAAAGGCTCTAAAGCCCACACCCGGATGTACAGCAGAAGAGAGTAAGGAGTGAACTAAAGGACTGTTGCCTCTTGCAACTATTGTCACGCTGTGAGAGAAAAGTGAATGAAAGCTTGTCCTTGGAACAACAGAGTCCTCTTGTTCTCATCTGCCCTGTCCTGACTTCACTACTGGGTTTATTCGATGAGACAAAACTTATGCTGAACTATCTACCTTTAAACCCTATTCTAGCCTAGGAATGCTCCGGCCATATTTGCCTCTTGTTTCCTATGCCATTTTTCCTCATCCTGTGGTCAAAAAGATGGATCCAATGAACTTGGATTGCAAGAAATTCTGTAGCACTCCAAATGAGCATGGACTGCACCTCCACAAGGAGGAAGGTTTGTTAGCACAGGCCATGGCACTCACTGGGGGGGAAATGAAAACAAGCATCAACATTAGATCTGTATAACAAATGGTCAGATTTACTCAGCATCATTTATCAAAAATTAAGTCTGCTCAAAATGATTTTTTGAGGCAGTACACATAAGAAAATTTTATTTCCATAAGTTTTTACAAGAGATGTACAGAAAAGAAAGAATTGTCACAAATCAAAACTGTGGGTCAGAAGCTGAGAGGAAAGCAAAGTAGTCAGCTTTTCCACAGAAGTTGTTACCAGCAAAGTGTCTCTGTTCCATAGGAATTAGCAATGGTTTCACTAGGAATTTGGAAAAAAAGTGAAAAGCAAGTAGAAAAATTTGCAGGTGACATTATTTCATGTTATATACAAAAGAGCTGTGGAAGTGGAGGAATCACTCAAGCACAAAGATTAAGCCCAGGTTAAGCAAGATATGAGATACTTGCACAGACAACAAGAATACCTAGTCATAATGATGGTTTCAGTCAAAAGGGCTATATGAAGCAATCTGAAGTCAGATTCAGTCACCTAATATTAGCATTAAAACTGTTTTGCTTCTTATATTTGAAATAGTTTTTCTATTTATTCTATTTATTCTATTTATGGCAAACTAATACATCATAAGAAAAAATACTTATGAAGTACATTAAGACACGCATTACTTTAGATGAATTTACTCTGCACATTTTTGTAATATTAAAAACCATTCACAGCATGCAAAGTTATAAATGATAGAGTTTTAATATTAAACTAAGGAAATATAGAGCATTTTCACCGTAACCCCAAAAGATGCTTTCTAGTACAGTGTTCTTCTAATATAGATCAGTTCCTTGATCTTATTTTCCACACAGCAGTTGTGCCAGCACAACAGACGGGATGGCACAGGCTGGAAACAGCAGCTGGGGGAGTGGGGAGGAAGGAGCTGGATCTGCGTGAACTAACCTTGCTGCTAAGGAAATGTGCTGGTTAACATCAACACGCACAGGTAGCGCTGCTTCCTTTACTGGAATTGCTTACAGAAATACAATTTGTATCTGCAAAACCAGATCTAAATTACTGAAAGGAAGTTGCTAACTGAATGTCTATTTTTTTTAATGGATTACATAAGCAAGCACAAAGTTAATTAGAAGAGATTACCGGCAAGAAAATACTCTTACCAGTGTTAGTCAACAGAATAAGTTCAGCTTTGAGCAAAAGACACTCCTCTTGAAGAAGGAGGAGATGGGGAACTGAGACAGCTGTCATCTTCAGGGATAGATTCAACAGCTGACAGTGATTTGTAATACTCATCCTCTCCATCAAGCACTTTGATTTGGCTTGAAAGAAAACAAACAACATTTATTAAGTTAAAAAATCAATTATGTCAATATCTCCAGAAACAGAAACTTCTCTATGGATGCAAAAATGAAGGGTGCTAATGCAAGAAAAGAAAAAAAAGGCTAGAGTGATTTGATCAGAAAGGTGTAGCTTTTACACGTGCCTTTTATGTTTCTTCTGCTGCTACTGCTTATGATTGGAATCTGAATGGTTCTAAGGATCAGTGAAAGGCAATACAGTTTTTCTTTTTTAGCTATACAGAATGATAGACAAACTGTTTGCATCAAATGGGCATTTCACTCAAGCAATGGGGGTTGGGTTTTTTTTGTCTGTACCATATATGTGGTATTATTTTGGTAATGCATTTCAGCTGACAGTTTACTGTGCATATGAACCAAAGAACACATCACTAATTTTTGGGCAAAGCCTTATTGACACCAAGGGTCTTTTTTATTTTCTGGTGAAGTATGCTGAGCACTGAAGTCTCATATCAGTACTTTTGTTCCCAAAACAGGAATACAGACTTTTTAAAATAGTGGGGAGAAATTGAGTTAATCAAATTCTGCTCAGTCATGCAAAATTTTGGGCTTTAACCTTGACCCAAAGACCTTCTATTCATCTGATTATATTTAGAAGATCAATTAACAAGTGAGAAAATATTACATAAGCTTCTAATGTAATCTTGGAGTAGATGCCTTTGCAAGATCCGGTATATACTGGTCCTCACCAATCTGTGTCACCAGTCAGTGAAATGTTTTCATCACTCAAAAGTAGCCAATTGGACTTTCATAGACTTTTCAATTTGTACCTATTTCCAGGTGGTAATTGTCCACGAGACAACAAGAACTGACTCAGCTGAATTGAGAAGAAGCAACACTCTCTTGGGATGAAGGGCCTCTTAAAACCTGTTCCCCCAGGAAGGCTGCAACCCACTGTGAGTGAAGAGCTGCAAAGCTGGTCATATTCTAGGTTAGAGAACTTCAGGTTAAATACCTTTCATCTGACACCACTCATTAGGGGCAAACACATTGTAAAACATAAAGGTTATTTTTGCAGGAGTACTCAGAGAAAGCTGGGGAGCTGTTTTGAATCAGTTCTAGTATCTGCAGACAGCACTACATATGAGTTTTACATTTGCTTCTGTAGAAAACGTCCAATGTCAATGCACAGAGATATGTTAATTGTTTATTTTTAGAAGCCTCTCTAGAAAGTTTTGCATATTCTGTAATATCACAAAGGACTTCTTCTGTTTACAGTTGCTTAGAACTAAGAAGATAGATATTTACCCAAGTTTTCTTGGCTTCCTCTTGCTCCCTTGATATTCTAGAGTTCCCTGTGGAGAGGGCCAAGAACACACAGTCAAAGCAAAGCAGCAAGTCGTTAATTTTTAATTCAAAGTGATTTTGTGTTGAATGCAAGCAGATGCTGATAATATCAGAAGTCACAGCATAATTTTTTTGATCAAAGGGCTCAAGTGAGCCTGATGAAGCATGCATCTTGCTCGTCTTTGATAAACCACATCAATTATTCACCGTGAAGGCAGACATCCTGACATGAAAGCAACAGATAAAGAGCATAAGCACATGTTCAAGACGAGAGCAGAAGAACGTGGGGGTGGGGCTGGAGGGGCTGAAACAGGTATTAATAACAGAATTATTAACTGGAAACAAAGCCAGTAAAACAGCTTTATTGCCACTTTGAACTCACATTTAACTGGTTATAGTACATGTTGTCCTCAGGGCTATTCAGCATTTTGGGCTGCTGACATCGTCGACGAGGTGTTCTCAGCTTCTGTTCAAGACAGTTTTCTGAACCTACAGTAAGATAATACTATTTAGTTTTAAGCTGTGCCAGGTGCTGTGAACGTCTTAGGATATTTTAGTCAGTAAACAGTCCTTTCTTCTGTCCCATTTGGTCCCAAATCTATTAGCAAGTCTATCCTATTCAAAGTGAGCCCAAGAAACTTGGGAAGTCTTTGTTTTCTGTTTTGAAACTTAGTTCAAACACAAGTTTTTAAGCATAGCTTCACTTTTACTTTTAAAACCCTTTTTTTATGCTTCCCTCTGTACAAATCACACAGCTCCGTATTCCTTTCACTCTTTATCTGAGTATCTTCTGCTATCTAAGCAGGAAATGAGGATACCGTGACCAGCCAGGGATACATCCTTCAGCAGCAGCAAAGACGTTTTTCTACAGTAGGAGGTAATAAAGCTCCTTGACTTATGAGACTTACTCTATTATCACCATTTTTATTATATAGAAAGGCTACTTTTTGATGTGGCTCTCTGCTTAATCGGAGTAATCAAACTAGTTTGGAATTACACTTTCTTAATATAATTTGTGGTGTGCTGTAGAGTAACAGTTGCTTAAAGCCATCTGGAAAGCAGAGGCTAAAGATGAAGGAAATATTTTGGAAAGGAAAGATTCTGAAAAGAACTGACAGCCTTTTTATTTTCATTTGTCTTTTTTTTTTTTTTTTTTTTTCTCCATGTTAAGGACAAAAGACATTATGGTGCACTGTACTATATTTCACCAGGAGTTTCTGCGGCACATCCTTCAGATTACCAGAACAAGTGCTTTCAGGACAAAACAGAAGCACTATTTACTGAAAGACAGAATGGTGGGTAAAGAAAGCTCATTCATTTTCCACGTAATTCTCTCAATATCTTTGACTTTTCTGACATTTCCCTCCTAAAAATTATTTTAATGACAGTGTGAACAGAGAGTTTTTGGTGGCACATTTGCACTCTGTACTGCATGGGAAATGTGATCTGACACAAAGGAGCAGCACAAAGATCAAGCAGTGCAGGAACTCCTTTTAAGCATTTCAAACCTGAAGTCAGTGTGCGTTGTGCAGATGTAGGGCTCTCATCCCACAAATCCATGTTTAAGATTTGTTGTTAACAAGCAGGTAAACAAAGAAGGTCTATCATATATTCAGGATCACAGCCTGCAAATACTGCATTTTTCTGCAGTTACTGAGGGAGGTATAAGAGGTGGTTGCACTTGGGCCCTTGCAGCCAGAGGACTGACTGTTCTATATTTTCTTTCACTGCCTTTTTTCTGTCTCCACGGTAAAATCTCTAAGATATACTCTCTTGGAAACTATTGAACTGTGGTTCTTGTTGCGGGAGAGGATCACTTACTCTGAGCCCACCATCATCTTCCCACACAATGCCTGGAATTGATGGCAAGTTAAATGGCACCGGGGAGCTGACTGCAGAGTTAGGTCTCAAATTAAAAATTATTTTATAGAGAAGGGTTACATTTTTTCATTAATAAAAAATAAATTTTAACTAATATGCTTGCACTGCTTGCTAATTATGATACCCAAACCTTCATTGATTTATACTTTTCAAGTTCAGTAAACCTTTCTATTCTATCTCAATAGACTGTAACAGCTGACCCCGCTACTTCCACTGTATAAATCCAGACAAGGCAGAAGCTGCTCCAGAAAATGCTTGAAGACTTGTGGAACTTGGGTTCCCAAGTGCTATTCATGTCTTTGGAAAGTTTTTTTTCCGTTACATTTAGATAGCAGATAATGATAATCTTCTCTCTGAAATCTCTGACAGTTTTTGCCAAAGGCTTGCTGCAGCCATGTTCTGTTCTTTCTGTTTGCAGTGAAAGTTATTCAAATTGACCTTAGAGTATTCTGCCATATCAGGTCAGTAGGCATTCCAATCTTTGCAAGAAATGTGTTCAATTGCAAGGCCATACAAATTCTTTTTTTCAACAATGTAATTCTTGAATAACTCTCCAAAAATCACTTTTTTCAGTCTATCAAGAGGTCAGTATGAAAAAAGCCCCAGGCCTCACAGTTATTCATACTTTCACACATCTCTCTGCAGCTTGCCAAAAGCATACGCCACATAAATATTTGTAACTTCTCAAACAGTACTGCAACATGATGGGGGGGGGGGGGGGGAGGGTTCTTGTGTTCTTTCCCCCAGGATGCTGTTGAGGCCTTCATGTTATTTTTCAAAACATCTGTATGGTCTTCATTTTTAAAATGTCTTTTATTCATTAGGATTCTGAAACACTAATATTTTGTTCTAGCTTTTTATATTGATGCTTAATTATTCCTGTGTATTCCATGGGTGGTCTGCAGCTTGTGTCCTCCAAAGGAAATACCCTTTCAGTGGGCCCATTTGTCTTAGTGTTTAGCAGCATACTACACGAACAGTAAAAAATCTGGTAACATTTATCATAAACTACCATATCTGGAGAAAACTGCATTAACATGTGCTCAACACTCAGCAGTTGAATAGGCAGTTTAAATGGTGTTCTATAACATTTTGCTTTGATGGCAAACTTAAAGCATCCAATAGGAAAAGCTAAAAGCAGCAGCACCAGTGTCATTACCAGTGCATTATTTGTGTTGCACCTCAATTGCGCCAAGAGCCCAGCACGCCCAGACTCCCAAGTTTCCTACAGATTCACAATTTGGATAAGAGAGTGCACACATGCACTTCCTTCAGGCTGTCCTGTAGCACTAGCCTGAACTAGCCAAGTAGGGTAACTGCCTCCCTTTTGTCCAGAAGAAAACTTTTCTTCCAGTGAGCAGAAAATATTCACATAGCAATTTCCCAATCTCAATTAATAAATCCTTCATGACAGCACATAAATAACAAAGTAAATCTCCTCCTGACAAGCTTGCTATGTCAGCTGATCTGGCCAGCATAGGACAGACTGAGGTTCTAAGTGTCCTCCTTTCCTTGCTTGAAGCTAGGCAAACATCCCTAAATCATAGAATAGCTAGGTTGGAAGGGATCTCAAAGATTATGTAGTTTGAACTCCCCTGCCACGGGCAGGGCTGCCGAGCACTAGATAATTCTGCCCAGAGACCCATCAAACTTGGTCTAGAACACCTTCACCCACAGCTTTTCTGAGCAGCCTGTACCAGTGTCTCACCACCCTATGAGTGAAGAATTTCTTCCTTAATGTTGCTCACAGTGAAGGGAATTAGAAACTGGCAAATGGATAAATTTAACTATAAAGTACATACTTATAAGTAAACAATCCAATGGGGTTTCTATTTAATCCTCTTCTATTACTACTAGCTATTCTTCTTATTCATCAGTTACGGCAGAGACCAGGGGCTTGCACTGCTCAGACGGATTACGAAGATGTGTGTTTTCAAGTAAATGTAAAGTCAGACATTTAAGTTACATTTTTCAGAACTGGGAATTGCACAATTGGAAAATGGCACCTCAAGGAAGACTTGGGAATCCTATGTATATTCTGCTGAGCATCAAGTAGATTGGGAGCAAAGTGGAGTGCTACTCCACAGAAACAAGGAAATGGTTCTACCGTTGACTGCAGAATTGTTTTAGAGAGAGCCCTGTAAACTGCAGAATGTTTTGAGAACAATTTGAGATCTTGAAAATTTGCTTTACAGTCAACAAAAATTAAAATGTGATGTTCCATTGTTTCAAAAGAAGGATAAGAATGTTTTGAAGCAAGTCTAAGCTCCTGTATAGAAGGATTACTGGTGGTGGAGGGCTTTTTACTCTAGGAAACACAGGCCTGAAATGCCTGAAGACCACGAGAGGAAGAAAAATCCAATTTAAATACAGCACAAAGTGAAAGCAATCAGACAGGAAAAAAAAAATTAGCAGTATGATGGAAATTCAAGATGAGATTGGAAGGTTTTAGAAAAGCTATACTTTAACTAAAGCTGAAGTTAAAAACTATTCAAGATACCAGATGGGTCTCTTCTTACCTAATGTGAATTCATTTCTTTGTGAGTCAATCTGCAGAAGATTTTTTGTAGATTTTTTGATTTCTGGTATCTACTTTCACCTTTCAATTTCCATGCATTTCTTCTTGGTTTTTGTATGGTTGAAACAAATATTTTTCTTCAGTTAGCCATCACATCCACCACATTGACACTTTTCATGAGATCCGAGTTTGAAGTGAATGAGTTTGAAGAAATTAGCAAGTTTCATATGCCATACCTTATTTAGATGATTTTCTGTTTAGAAATTCATTCTTTCAATAAACTGCAAAGGACTTTCTCAAAGCTGCACAAGCTGACAGTCAGATACGGGGAAAGACTTTGAAATGCTCTTTAGCTACAAGACAAGGACTTCTGCACCAACGATTTGGGCCCTGACTGATACTTACAGAACAGCTGAAAAACCTGGAAAAAAAAAAAATATGTTTTTCTGATGACTTCCTGTGAGGCGTATGACTTCACTCTGATACTTAGAGAAAATCTCATTTAGATGTCCCATTTGCCCTGCTTGACTCAATATTGAAAACTTGTAGACAGGCCCTGGGCATACTCTTCAGAGGAACTGCAATCATCATTCCTGCTCCTGAAATAAAGTTGGGGTCTTCTTCAACTGTTCATGATTAAGTCCTTGCTTCAAAAACCTCATGATGCTGGTGACCTTGCCAAACACTTCTAATTCTTCCTATCTGGTGAATTCTGCTGAGAAAATGGTGACCTGCATTTGGAAGTTGTAAAATCCACAGATGCGAATCAGGTTGTCTTAAGACTGGTACAGCACAGAGAGGGCACTAAATTCTGGATGACATCTTACTTTTAGCAAGGAATGCACCGAAGGGATCTTTGCCAATGCGTCAGTGCTACAAAGCAGGCTGCATCGCTGACTCCCTTGCTGAAGGGACTCCATCCACTCCAATACATACTGAGGAGTGGAGTAGAGCAGTCAGTTTATTTCTGAAGCCATTCACCCAAAAAAGGTTTGGAAGGCCTTGTATTTTTCTGTTTCAGGTGAACACAAACTTAACAACACAGGATGAGTAGTCCTTCTGTAATCACTCAGACACAGGGAGATTTATC